GGCCCTGGGCCCCTCCACTGTCCAGCACCCCTGAGCACATCTCCTTTGCAGCACTTACCACACTTGAGTTGGAATCATTGATCGCTGTATTCCTTCCTGTTGGTACCACTTTGCCAAGTTCTTGCTTAAGCAAGCAGCTTTGTTACTTGTTCCTTACTTGTTTGCCAGGTCCCTCCAGGATAACAAGGTGACAGAGAAGGGGTCAAATCCTCTGTGTTTGTACACATGCACACACGTGTCTTCCCTGCATGTTTCATATCAGTACACAGTGCTCCCCCAAAGCAGCATCAAATAAATGCTCATTTGAAAAAGAATGAACCAGTCTGCTTTGTAACAAGTCACTTCTCAAATTATCAAAAGGGTAAACATGTGCAATATTACTATAACATATTTTTATTATACCATTTACTAAGCTGCTATAAGAAATTAAGCTCACTTATTCAGTTTTCTTCTTGAGGAGAAACTCTGAAGAGCACTTTTTTCTAGTCAAAATTACCTAGTTTTCAGACTGATGGATCTTTCAATTCAGCCATCAGACATGGTATCCAACACAGCAAAACTTGTTTATCTCTTGACATGTATGAATCAGCTACCAACTGTGTGCAGGTATTGCTTGGAACATGGAGGAGCAAATGAATAAATCAGAAGTTCCAATTTGCAGGCAGGAAGACGGGCAAGTAAATACTACAAAACAGAACACTATAAAGAAAAGAACATAATGGTAAAGAAGGTATTTTTTCCTTGGAGTAGAAAACCAGTCTTTAATGAGACAGATGGCGGTATGACATGAGCTTGAGTAAATTCTGGGAGTTGGTGATGGACAGGGAGGCCTGGCGTACTGCAGTCCATGGGGTTGCAGAGTCAGACACGACTGAGCGACTGAACTGAACTGATGGTGGTCCACAAAAGAATAGGTGATAGTAGTTAAGAACCAGTACTTTAGGGACTTCCCTGTTGGTCCACAATGCAGGGGACATGAGTTCGATCCTTGGTTGGGGAACTGGGATCCCACATGCCATGGGGCAACTAAGCTGGGGCACCACAACTACTGAGCCTTCACACCACAACAAAAGATCCCATGTGCCACAATAAAGACCTAATTCAGTCAAACAAAAAGAAACAATTTATTGGAAAAAAAGAAAAAGAACCAGGACTTTACATTTAAATGGAAATGTATTCAAATCTGGTTCCACTACCACCTGTGTGCCCTTGGACAAATTTCCTCCGTGTTTAAAAAAAAAAAAGGCAGGGGTGGAGGAATAATAGGCATACTCTCTCATGAGGTTATTATGATAATTATATAAAATTCATAGAAAATGCCTAACATGGTGCCAGGCACCATGGCAAGCAATTAATGCATTGTTGTTGTTTAGTCGCTAAGTCATCTGTGACTCTTGCGACCCTATGGACTAGCCCACCAGGCTCCTCTCTCCATGGAACTCTCCAAGCCAGAATACTGGAGTGGGTAGCCATTCCCTTCTCCAGGGGATCTTCCCACCCCAGGGATTGAACCCAGGTATCCCACATTGGCGGGTGGATTCTTTACCACTGCACCAGGAGAGAAGCCTAATTAATGCAGAGTGGCTATTATTTATTTAAAACAGTGGATAACATTTCTGAATTAATATTTCAAAACCAGATTTTTTACATGATACCACATGTTGTTAAAAAAGAAAATTCACTCTACAAATACTGGGAAAATACAGAGGATGCTGTTGTGCTTCACATTCCTCCTCCTGGTTGAGGAACTCATTCTCTCAGGAGCTGCCAGGAGTTTGGCTTCTGAAGGCTGCCAGCTGATTCCCCATGAGAAATTTGACTCTGAATTACTTCAGCTACCGTTGCGCCCCCTGCTGGTCAAGCGGGAGAACCAAAGCCAACCCTCTCATTTCAATTTGGAACAATTTTTTTTTTTTTTTTTTTTTTTTTAGTTTTTGAAAAAATTTTATTTTATATTGGAGTATAGTTGATTTACAATGTGTTTTAGTTTAAATATACAGCAAAGTGATTCGGGTATACATATACATATATCCATTCCATTTTCAGGTTCTTTTCATATAGGTTATTACAGAATATTGAGTAGAGTTTCCTCTGCTATACAGTAGATCCTTGTTGTTTGTTTATTTTTAAAAATTTACTTATTTTTAATTGAGGGATAATTGGTTTACAGAATTTTGTCCTTTTCTGTCAAACCTCAACGTGAATCAGCCATAGGTATACATATGTCCCCTCCCTCTTGAACCTCCCTCAATTTTTTAACTTTATTTATTTTGTTCCCTGGTAGCTCAGCTGGTAAAGAATCCACCTGGAATGTGGGAGACCTGGGTTCAATCCCTGCATTGGGAAGATCCCCTGGAGAAGGGAACAGCTACCCACTCTAGTATTCTTACCTGGGAAATCCCATGGACAGAGGAGCCTGGCGAGCTACAGTCCATGGGGTTGCAAAGAGTCAGACATGACTGAGTGACTAAGCACAGCACATTTATTTATTTTAATTGGAGGATAATTACTTTACAATATTGTGATGGTTTTTGCCGAAGGCCCACCCCAACCAAAGAGCTCCCTTAAGTGGCTGAGGCATCTATGGAAACCTCTTTGGCTTTCATCATTCCCTCACAGAGGTTCCCAACAGGCCCCCATAAACTCACCAGTCTCCCTCTCACAGTCACCCTCCTCAAGGCGGCTGAATTAACTCAATCACCCGTTGTATGGTCAGGGCACTGCTGTGGAGCCGGGTAGGCAAACTTCTTTTGTGGAAGGAAAGATAGTGTTTTTGGCTTCGGTTGGCCATATGTTCTCCATGACATTTACTGAGCTTTGCCTTTCTAGTGTGAAAGCAGCCGTAAAGAATACAGAAATGAATAGATATAGCTTTGCTCCAATGAAGCCTTGTTTAATGGACACTGAATTAGAATATAATAATTCTCATGTCATAAACTATTCTTCCTTTTATTTTAAAATGGCTGAAAAAATTCTTAGCTCATAGGAGTTCAAAGGATGTAACTAGGTGTACTGTGGTCATTGTTTCATAATATGCAAATAGCAAATCATGTTGTACATGTGAAACTAACACATGCAGATTGTTGTTGGTGCTGTTGTTTAATTGATACATTGTGTCTAACTCATTGTGACCCCATGGACTATAGCCCACCAGGATCCTCTGTCCAGTGGGATTCTCCAGGCAAGAATTCTGGAGTGGGTTGCCATGCCTTCCTCCAGGGGATCTTCCCAACTCAAGGATTGAACTAGTGTCTCCTGCATTGATAGACAGATTCTTTACCACTGAGCCACCGGGGAAACCCTCTCAGTAAAAGAAACAGGTGGCAGGCTAGATTTGGCCAATGAGTCATCATTTGCAAGTCCTTGAACTAGAGGAATTAAGTGGAGCAGTGAGACTCTCATGAAGCTACCATTCTAGTGCATGAATTTACAGAATTTGACACCATGAGATCCTAAAGCTTGTAAGAGAATACAGAAGACCCCTTCCTGACTCCAGAAGGGACAAGAGAGCATGTCGAAAAAGAAGATAAAAATGGGAAGAATAAGATGCATAATTCCTTTTCAAGCTTAGTACTACCAAGAAAATCAAACACGGCAAAATAAAGCAGTAGTTTAATGTTCAATATGTGGTATTTTCCCTTTTAGAGAACTTCATCCTCCCAGTAAACAGAATCAGATTTGAGTGGCTATATTTGAGCTTGTAGCTAAGTAATCGTTAAAAAAATAAAAGCACAATGGCAATTTGCTACTATTTTCATCTTTATAAAGAATATATTTTTAAATGATCTGGCACAGGATAGGGAAAATAGATACAAATGTATTTTTTGAAAGCTGTTTGAACCTGTCTTTCTACCCAAATGTAGCAGCCTTCAGTGGTCCATTTCCTTCAAAAAGAAACAACTCAAGGATTTTACTTGGGTGACAAACATATGCTTAACTCCCTACCCTGAAACTTTTGGCTTTTAGTTTTGCCATGGTGTGCATTCTTCTTTTTTAAATTTATTTATTTATTTTAACTGAAGGATAATTTCTTTACAGAATTTTGTTGTTTTCTACCGAATATCAACATGAATCAGCCATAGGTATACATATGTCCCCTCCCTCTTGAACCTCCCTCCCATCTCCCGCCCCATCCCATGCCTCTAGGTTGATACAGAGCCCCTGTTTGCGTTTCCCACAGCAAATTCCCATTGGCTATCTATTTCACATATGGTAATGGAAGTTTCCATGTTACTCTCTCCATACATCTCACCCTCATCTCCCCTCTTCCCATGTCCATAAGTCTATTCTCTATGTCTGTTTTTCCATTGCTGCCCTGCAGATAAATTCTTTGGTACCATCTTTATAGATTCCATATATATGTGTTAATATATGATATTTATCTTTTTCTTTCTGACTTACTTCACTCTGTATAATAGGCTCTAGGTTCATCTACCTCATTAGAACCGACTCAAATGTGTTCCTTTTTATGGCTGAGTAATAGTCCATTGTGTATATGTACCACAACTTCTTTATCTATTCATCTGTCAGTGGACATCTAGGTTGCTTCCATGTTCTAGCTATTGTAAATAGTGTTGCAATGAAGAGTGGGATATGTGTGTCTTTTTAAATTTTGGTTTACTCAGGGAACTTGCCTAGGAGTGGGATTGCTGAGTCATATGGTGGTTTTTTAAGGACTCTCCATACATTGTATGCATCCTTAACTTGGTTTGTCTTCTTTTTCCTTTTCTGTATTCCCTTATATGAATCATACCTTCTTTTTTGATCATTTTTATTTTTGCTTTGTTGCTGTACAGCCCTCACTTGGAAGTCATTATAGCTCCTCTCCCCACATTCCTTCACGTGTAATATTATGAGATTTCCTCTTAATCCATACCTGACCTGCAACCAACCTTTTCTTCTCTACCCCTTGCCAACCCCTTCCTGCACATTCTCAGAATAAATGAATACTTGTTGCTTAGGATTTGAGTAGTTGAGAAAGAGCAGTGGAAGCACCCTCTCTATGGATTCACGTTGCTATACTGAGAAATATGGAGACTCGGTGTGCTGATTTCAGTTGACCCATACTGTAATAGGCGGTTAATGACAATATCCCTGGCTTTTGAGATCTCCAGGTTCTTCTCTATAGAGACTTGAATACTGATTTGGTCCACGTTTGTCATGATGAGTTCAGATGCCAGAATCTGGGTAGGTGAACTGTCATGAAACCCAGTGTCCATAAAGTACTGCTTATACAACTCCACCAGCTTCTGCTCCAGGTATTCATTCAGTACCGCATTGGAAATAGGCTTCTGCATTTGCAGGCTGTTTTTCTCTTTGATGCTGGTTATTCTCCAGTAGGATGAATACCGCTGGATAGGGGTGGGTGGCAAGTCGCTGGGCTGGGTGGACATGGAATCCTCCATGGACAAAGGAATCTCAGATGATTTCAGCAAAGGACCATATTGAAAACTGCCCTCAGAGGGGAAATCTGTTGTCACTGAATTAATGGCCATCACCTGGCCCCCTGCAATCTGTAAGTCATTGTAATTCTTGCAGATACTCTTGCAGGAAGGTGGGACCAAGTAGGTCTCTTTGCTGGTGTCTCTGTATAGTTCAACTGCGGCCAAGTTTGGGCTTTCATACACAGGATTGGGGTTTGTTTGCAGCACCGTGATTCTCGGATTTCTACTATGTTGGCTCTCTTTTGAATACACTGAAGAAATGATCTTGCCAGAGGATTTGCAGCTCACATAGAGATTTTGGACTTGTGTTTCATCCACGGAGGAATAGGAAAGACTGGCAGCTGCTGTGGCTTCCATCTCCTCTTCCTTTTCCTCAGCCACTTGCTCATTAGAAGATGGATAATTCCACTGGATGTCATTCCAGTACGCAAGTCCACTGAGATAGCCTTCTGACAGCATTCTGGAAAGAGAGTGTGTGAGTTACAATGGGGGACAAGAAGATTGGAGTCTCACAAATGGACAGCTGTGCTATCAAAAAAGTAAAGGGCAATAAATAAGTTGATTTCATTCATTCCCCAAGCTCTTACTCATTCTGTGCCTGCTGTGGTACCAGAGCGCTGGCGTGTGCTGGAGGTATAAAGATGAAATGGACACAGTTCCCTCCTTCAACAAGTTTCTGAGTAACAACCTGGGGTGAAGGAGGAGAGATGACAGGCTATGTCCCAGAGAAGGTGGCATTTCAGATAAACTGAAGCCTAGGAGTTCCATCCCTAGTCACAGAGTTATAAGAAATTGATGAGATGGCCTTACATGGCATATATAAGACACTGAGCCTAAACAGAGAGGTCTGGGGATGTTGACTGAAGTTGAATCCTAAAAGGCCTTGGGAGTCGGGCAAGGGCATCTGCCTTCTGCCTGAAGGAAATGGAGAGCGATTGAGTAGCTGCAAACTGTGGAAGCAGCATCACTAGTGGGTTATGGAAAAATGAGGGAATTGGTGGCAGATTCTACTGAAAATGAGAGCTATATCTTGCTCATCATCGTATTTTATTCTTGGGAGCTAGCGCAGTTGTCTGCCTTGAGGAGGAAATCAAAGGATCCTTAACTTGAATGAAATAATGAACAGCAGTGGCAGGGTATGAAATTAATTCACTGTCAACCTGTCATTAAGGACCATGAAGCCTTCATCTCCCTTTGCTGCCCAGGATGGCTTTCTTGCTCTCTCTGTCCTAGTTTTTACTGTATGTCCTGGAAATGTTCCTGTGTCTGACTGACGTGTTTACCTCTACCCCAGTTACCAGGGAACTTTTCTTACTGTGAGCTTTTCCTCTGCCTGCACCCACCCCCTCCCACTGTCAGCAGTTGTCACTGGATTCTAAGGTGACTAGAATAGTACTCTTGCCTGGAAACTCCCATGGATGGAGGAGCTTGTAGGCTGCAGTCCATGGGGTCACTAAGAGTGAGACATGACTGAGCGACTTCACTTTCCCTTTTCACTTTCATGCATTGGAGAAGGAAATGGCAGCCTACTCCAGTGTTCTTGCCTGGAGAATCCCAGGGACAGGGGAGCCTGGTGGGCTGCCGTCTATGGGGTCGCACAGAGTCGGACAAGACTGAAGCGACTTAGCAGCAGCAGCAGCAGCAGCAGGATAGGCTCGGGGCTTCCCAAGTGGCTCAGTGGCAAAGAATACACCTGCCAATGCAGGAAACCCAGATTAGATTCCTGGGATGAGAAGATCCCCTGGAAAAGGAAATGGCAACCCACTCCAGTATTCTTGCTGGGAAATCTCATGGACAGAAGAGTCTGATGGGCTACAGTCCATGGGCTCGAAAAGAGCTGGGCATGCCTTAGCGACTCAACCACAACCACCAATGTTTTCAATGTTTATTTCTTTTAGGGGGAACTATTCCAAAATATGTTCAGAAGATTTATTAATGATTTAAATGTTTACTGTATTCCAGGCACTGGCATGTACCATGAAGCTACAAAGTTAAAGGTCTTCAACACATCCGTGAAGCGATTCTTAGATGCTGGACACACTTATAACAGTAAGAAAATGTTCTTTCCAAAAAAAACTTGTGTGGTTCTGTTCTTAACAAACTGAACATCCAGGTGAAAAGGCAAATCTTCTATACATGAGAAGATAATTAACAGAGCAAGAAAGTTTATCCTAAGGCTTCCTAGTGATGCAGTTACCTCATGACCCTCCCACTTCACTCCACCCAGATTGCAAGTGGGGTCTTCTGCCTTCAGGACCTAAGACTATCATTGTGGGAAATCAGAGCAAAACCACATCTCCCAGCTTTTGAGTTGCTAAAGAATCTTTAGAAAGTCTTGGTAGAAATCATAGTTTTAGAGAAATGAATTTTGAGATTGCATAACCTGAGCTTTTACCCTTCAGAATCCAGAACCCTAAATGACTGGCGGCTCGGTCACTGAGCCAAGTGGCTCAGTGGTAAAGAATCTGCCTGCAATGCAGGAGACCCGGGTTCGATCCCTGGGTCGGAAAGATCCACTGGAGAAGGAAATGGCAACCCACTCCAGTATTCTCTGGGAAATCCATGGATAGAGGAGGCTGGTGGGCTACAGTCCACGAGGTTGCAAGAGTTGAATACAACTTAGCAACTAAGCCACTACCAAATGACTTAGGGCATCATATTGACATATCAACAATAGACTCAGTGGATGGAATCCCTGTGGAGGGAAAGAGGATGGCGCCAGACAGATTAGGGGAGCCCTGAGTAGATGAGGCCTGTGCCCTAACCCCTGCGTAGAACCTGAGGAGCAGGAGTAAAACCAACCAAGTGGAATGCCTGGGTGGACCGTCCTAAAGGCTGCCTTGTGAAGTCTGCTTAGGTACCAGCATGCTGCCCAGAGCCTGCAAACCTGGTGAAAAAACCTCCATTGGGGATGGGCAGATTGCAGACATGATAGTTGTAGAATGTTAACCAGGGGCCAGGTGAATGATGAGAACTTACCATGGATGCCCATGTGACTATGTGACAAACAACCAGAAATGTCCCCACTGCGCCACCTCCCTCCCATCCCCAGCATCCCCAGCTGATGCTATGGCTTTATGGAAGCAAGCTGGAATTCAGAGGCCAGCCCAAGCCAGAGGGACCCCTGAAGTGACTGTGATTACTCAGAATGTGAGCCCAAAAGCAAGATCACACTGAGGGAGAGAAAAGCAAAGATTTTTAGGAAAAATAATGGATTAGACATATACCTGTATTCTTTATCCCCCTCCAAACTTCACTAAAACAACAGTAAATTATTTTTTTAAATATAATACATGAGAAAAGGGAGAACAAGAGAAGAGACTAGAGCAGTTATACTTTAGAAACTGGAAAGCAGTAGATCAGGGGTAGATGACTTAGAGAAGCAAATGAAAAATCTAGACCAGTGCAGTCCAACAGAATTTTCTGGGATGATAGATTGATCTACATATGTGTTGTCCAAAATATTAAGAGCCATATGTGACTATTAAGCACTTGAAATGTGGCTAATGAAACTGAATTTCACTAATTGATTAACTTCATTTAATTGAAACTAAAAATACCACGTGGCTAAGATATTGGACAACACAGACTTAGAAGATCATCAAGGTGATAATGCAAAATCATTCTTGAGTCCCCCTTGTTCCCATTCAGCCATTATCCCAAATCACCTGTTTATCACATTTCTTTTCATATTAAAAAAATTATAGTAGATTCTTCTCTCATTTTATGTGGCTGATGTGTATAAGTTCTCCAGATAACCTCTGCTCGTTCACAGTAGTGAAGGAAGTGGATTTTGTTTTGAGTAATGGCCAATACCTGGATTCGATCCCTGAGCCAGGAAGATCCCCTGGAGAAGGGCATGGCAACCCACTCCAGTATTCTTGCGTGGAAAATCCCACGGACAGAGGAGCCTGGCGGGCTATATATAGGCCATGGGGTCATAAAGAGCCGGATGTGACTGAGCAACTAACACACACATAAAAGCCTCTTTGCCCTATTTATCATGGGCTGAGAGCTTTGTTGATACCTTAATTCTGGTAGAATAAGAGCCCTACCATAGGGCCCAAGGCAGACCAGTACAGTGGTAAGATCAATGATGGAAAAGCAGAAAATGTGTCCTAATACCAAGGGACAGAGACACCCATGCCTAAAAAAACAAATTCCTATGAGAAAGGAGTGAGAGAAAAGGTCAGGGAGGTATATTGGGACATGCAAGGCTGAGAACTTTAAGTTTACGCTGAAGGCAATACAAACCTCTGGAACGTAACCAAGGTTTTTCAAGGCATGATGTTATCTATGAATAAAGGGCAAGGTGAATGTCAGCAGAATGAAATTGGAGTCCAGGACCCAGGTTAGGAGCTTCTGGATTCATGCCCATCTGAGCTGTTTAGGGGCAGGAGCCAAGAGGAAGGAAGCAGAAAAAGAAGAGAAGCAATGAACTTGAGAGGCCATGGCTCCTGGACTTGGTAGTGAAGAAGAGAGAGGAGTCAGAAGTAACTGCCCCTAGGCATGCTGACAGTTGACACCAGCATTGACCAAAATGGAGAGATCAGGAGAAGGAGCCAGGAAAGGAACTGATGGGCTTACTTCAGTTCGTCTTGAGTCAGATGCGGGGTAACTGAGTGCACGGTTAGACACCGTGCACTGGAGATTCAAGCAGGGAGCTCATTAGAAGGCTTACTGTCCGTCAACAGTGACGTTGTCTCCCAAGTGTGGGCTGCAGGATTTTCTATCTGGAGGCTTGAGGAGCTTGTAGGGGTAATAATTTCTGTGGGAAACCTGCCTTGAACAGTACGAGGAGTAATGAGCCACAACAAGCTCTGCAGTGTCAATCGTGTCACAGAAACTATAAGAACTTCCAACGTGAGCAGGTCACATACTAAAAATCCACATTGGACATTGGAAGGTAAAATTTGGTTGCTATGCAGATTCAAAAAAGAAACTATTGAACTACTATTGAACTAGTAGTCAAGAGACTAGAATTCTAGTCCTGATCTTCCTGTGGTTTTAGTCTAGTTAATGGCAGGTCTATAACAGGACTAGCATTTACACTAGCTACAACCCAGACACTGTTCTAAGTGCCTTTTATGTACTAAATCAATGAATCCTCACAAAAATTCAAAGGTGTAGGTACTATTATTCTCATTTTCTGTGTATCGAAATTAAGTACTATGTCCATAACCAGCAGGCATTCAAATGCTGATCAGTCCGAAAACAGAGTCTGCTAGAATCCCCTGGTAGTTCAATGGTTAGAACTCCACGGTTCCACTACAGAGGACCTGGGTTCAGTCCCTGGTTGGGGAGCTAAGATCCCACAAACTTCACAGCATGGACAAAAAAAGGAAAGGAAACAGAGCCCACGCTTGCATGTCACTTAACCTCTCAGAGACTCAACTTTTTATCCGTAAACTGAGAATGTGGGATTAAATTATAGAATCCCCTCAAACTTTAATATTGCA